TTTCAGCTGCTTTTTTAAATTACCCAATAAAGTAGAAAGTACAATTTAGAATAATGTTAACCCTAATAAATTTAAAACTTTTAAACAAATTGTGTGCAATGTCACTGCTATGTATATAAAATAATTGCAAACTTCTTAAAAAAAAGAATGAAATTATTTGGAAATGCTCAAATTTCTGTATTTTTGATTTTTTACTGATATAAAGAAACTTCAATATTGTATTTTAAGAAAAAAATGCACAATCACAGTTGCAAATAACTTATTCATAACTGTTCAACTGTTACCTACACAGCAGTAACAAGCTAACAATTAGTAAAACGGAAAACCTCATAACATATTGTATTTGAAGGTTATTGCGGGCTGGTTTACGACTTTAACAATGTCAACGGAATCATCCTAAGCGCGGATTCAGGAGGTTGAAAGGTACCGCCCCTCCCTCCTTTCTGAGACCAAGTCGTATTTATGTAGCTTTTTAAACACTTTTGTCTACTCGTTTTTCTTCATTCATTTGGGATCAGGACAATTCACACATTTGATAACAGAAGGTCTATTAAAAGTGTTACTTAGGCTTTATGACTTATTTTATTTTAAAATCAGAAAGCAAGTAATTAAGATCCTTTTTGGGGATTTACATTTGGACCAGCAGATAGGTCACTTAACATTTATGCCTGATCGAAAAATTCAAAGAGGAATATTTAATAAAACAAAATTTAACTCAGCTAAATTTTTGTTTCGAAATTATACGGATCATAGACCGCTTTTCGTTGTTATTATCTTATATTATCACTTTTCATATATTTATTATTATATTTAGTTTAGGCCATTTAGTAATTAAGTGACGTAAACTAAATTAGATGGATAATAAACTAATATTTTAAGATGTTTCACACGGCCAACTAGCACGGAACAAACTACAAATACAGTAGACACCTGCCGTGAAAGCCTTGACTCTCTATTAGAACTTATTTATTAGTTTTATCTCCGTATTCCATACCTGTGAATTGCATACCTGTAAACAAAATTGCTTATTTTAAATTACAGATAGACTTTTAAATTACAGTGCACTTAAAATCACCATTCATTTAAAATTTTTCTCTGCAATTCTAAATTAATTTTTTTATTAATTGTTCTTGCACATTTTACCTAACTAATTAAAGCCGTTGAAATTTGTTATTGCATAGATTTGACCTTTATTTAATGAAAATCTATGTCAAAATAAAAAGTAAAACTTCTTAACTTTTCATACAGTATTATTTACATTAAGTAACAATTGTTTCGACATTCTTGGCTTTCTTAGACATCTACTGATAGTAGTAAGTCTTCTTGTTAAATAAAAATGTGTGATAATCAGAAGTACGATAAATTGGTAGACTTTCGCGGTCAGTTGGTGAACTGATACTGTCCTGATTTGGGTCTAAAGCCTATCGTCGGTTGGAGTTGCTGCCTAGTGTTTTGCTAGCCATATTGATGAGCTTCTTCAGAGGTCCTTCCATCTCAGATACTGGATGTGGACTGTCCAGGGAGCAACTTCAACCGCCGACGGCCTTTAGACTCAAATCAGGATAGTATCAGATAATCGGAAGTCTCATTTTTATTTGTTATTGTTTTAAGAAAATAGAAAAAAAAACTTGTCTCCGTTATCTCGAATCGTTTTTTTTTTTCATTACTTATTGTCACTTTTGAGAATAAAAATTTATTTTTGTAGGTATTTGTATAGATTTACTAATTTTCAAATTAAGGTGCTTATGCGCAATGGTTATTAAGTTGCAAAAAAATGCTAAAATAAAGTATAATGATGAAAAAGACCATAATATTGATATTGACACTGATTATTTAGTTTATATATTTTTTCTATATATGGTGACACTCACGCTAATAAAGCGAATAAGGCTATATCGTTATAATTAATGAAACTAGTTTGTATGGATGTGTACACAGAAAAAATGTAATTATTATAAAGACTGATGTAGACAATATTTTTCGCTACAATGTCTTTTAAACACCATATGCCCAGTAAGAAGTAGGTATTTATTGTATTTTTATACTATTTACGGTAATTATTTTAGTAACTTATGATTATAACTCACAAATTGTTTTTTTTAATGTGGAATTATTTTGTAATCTAATTATTTAATGTATTGTACCTTTTTAATGTTCTACCAAAGTTCTACAATAAGTAGTAAAATATAGTTGTACATAAAAATTTAAAAACGCAGATATGTAGGTATGTCAACCTACTCTGCATATTTCTGTACATGATTATTTGAATTTACCATTTGGTACAAGGTACAAGAAGGTACTTCTTATGTCTTACAATTAGTTTAGATCTTATGTAAAAAAGTACCAGCCCAAGCATATATGTACTTACAAAAGAAACAACTTTCAAAGTTTCTATTCTATAAAAAAAAAGAAAAACAGAAGGATCTGAGCATTCGAGCTGTACAGATGTGTGCGAACCGACGATACCAGCTCTCTGTCTACAAACAAACCGTCGGTTCTTGCGCTGTCGAAGTTTAATTGACTTCTATGTGTCTCAGTGTTGGTGACGCAGTAACAGTTTTTCGTTGTTTTTTTCGAAATATTAGTGTATGTTCCAGGCCATTGGGCCTGCTAAACCATTAGAAATGAAAGGGACAGCGTCTCAGGCAGATGATCAAGCGAATTGGTCGGAAGTCACAAACAATAATAAAAAAAGGACCAGAAATAGTCCGGAGCTGGCTATAAATTTAAAAAAGCGACAAAGCAACTACTTCGTGAGAAAAAAACAAGTCTAAAGCCTCTTCTGGATCTCTAGCCACTCCTAACCCTTTTGCTCCACTAGAAGCAAGTCAGGAAGATATAGATAAGGAGAACGAGGAAGAGGAAAATCCAAGACAGATCAAGGCTCCACGGATATTCGTCAGTGAGGTAGGCTTGCTGGCCCCACTGAAAGAATTACTAAACAATCTAGTGAAAAATAACTATACAATCAAAACTCTGACTAATAATACAGTGAAGATTCAATTAGAAACTTCTAGTTCTTACTTGCCAGTGGTCAAGGAGCTGCAAAAAATTAAAGCTCAGTTTTATACGTATTGTAAGAGGGAAGACAAGCTATCACATAGTTCTAAGAGGAATCCACCCGTCTACTGATATAGATGATATAAAGTTTGAACTAAAGGAATCATCAAGTCTTACACATCTCAAATATACGCCAAAGCATTACTCATTTACCGATCCCTCTGTTCTGAAACCAGGCCAAAATAACAATGATATTTATAATATAAAAAGACTCACGAACTGTGTTGTTACCTTTGAGCCACCGAAAGAAAAGAGATCCTACAATGTCTTAATTGTCAAAAATTTGGATATACAAGAAATTACTGTTTTAAGCCACCGATTTGCGTTAAGTGCGCCGAATCATGCTACCAAGGACTGTCCAAAGAAAGGCAAAGTCTCCGATGTTATATGAGCTAATTGCTGCACTGTTCGTAAGTTGATACAGCAAAAAAAATATTTCCACCACTAAGATAAAAAACCTATGCAGATAATACAAACACACCAAAGCTGCATTTAATCAACGTCACAAATAGCTCGGTTCAACAAAATCTTACTCCAAAGCTTTTAACAATAACAGTAGTAACAATCCTCATCCACAACAAACAAATAGTAGCCAAACTATGCCCCCTCAATCAAATATAGCCAACAGATAATGTTACAGCTAATGTCCAGAATAGATACAATGTTAAACCTAATTACGTGCTCGGTAAATAGATTAAACAATGCCTGACTTGGCAATGAACATAGCCATTTGGAACGCTAACGATTTAGCTCAGAGAACACTCGAGCTAAAAGCCTGATAAAAATATTGACATCATGTTATTATCTGAAACTCTCTTTACTTCACAAAACTACCTAAAAATACCAAACTATAATGTGTACGTCACCAACCACCCAGATAACAAGTCCAATGGAGGCACAGCTATAATAATTAAATCATTCATTAAACATCATGAATTAGAAAAAAGCGGTCAGACCTACATGGAATCAACAAGTATAGTAGTGGAGGATCCAGTGCGTAGTATTACTTTCTCAGCATTTTACTGTCCCCCCCCCCCAGGTTCAGCATAACCCAGCAGACTTTTAATGAGTACTTCAATAGACTAGGCAATTGATTTTTAGCTGGAGAAGACTACAATCGAATCCAAAAGGCAGACAACTCTATGCATCAATAATCTCTTCGGATTGTTATCCACTATCTACAGGTGAACCCACCTACTGACCTACAGATCTAACTAGGCTACCAGACTTAATTGATTTTGCGGTGGTCAAAGACATAAATACACAAGATCTAAAAGCACATTCATGCTTTGATCTGTCTTCTGATCACTCGCCAGTGCTAATATCTTATGCTAAACAATTCAGATCAAATCGAACTAATAAATATAGTTATAATTTAAACACTTCTTGGCAACCATACAGGGACTACATCAATAATAACCTTAACTGCAATATTAGACTTAAATCAATAGATGATCTGGAAAACACAATCGACTACTTCAATTCCCTCGTTTACTGTGCAGCCTCAAATGCTGCACCTAACCAATAAAAGAAAATCAAAACTACCTAGAAATATCGCTGCAAAAATTTAGGAAAAAAGAAAGTTGAGAAAGATATGGCAAGCCTACAGATCACCGAGTATTAAAACTAAACTAAACAAGATAACCAAGGAACTGAAATCTTTACTCTATGCAGACAAAAACAATAGCATTAGAAAATCTGACAGCAAACGAAAACACCCTCTGGAAAGCAACAAAAAGAAAATCAAGCAACCAATTCGTTTTATACCACCGATCAGGCAATCTAATGGAAGTTAGGCAAAAACTAATAAAGAAAAATCAAATTCCTTCGCCAGTCACATTGAAGAAGTTTTTCAACCGTTGGAGCCTCAAATCACTGAAGAATCTGAAGATAA